CCTGCGGATGATTTGACTGACCCTGCCCCTGCCACGACATTTGTACATTTAGATGTACTACCGTATTATCAAGAGGATTAGCTGCCAAAGGTATTTATCCAGCAGTAGATCCCTTGGATTCAACGTCAACTATGTTACAACCTCGGATCGTTGGCGAGGAACATTATGAAACTGCGCAAAGGGTTAAGCAAACTTCACAACGTTACAAAGAACTTCAAGACATTATAGCTATCCTTGGCTTGGACGAATTATCCGAAGAAAATCGTTTAATTGTAGCAAGAGCACGCAGAATTGAGCGTTTCTTATCACAACCCTTCTTTGTGGCAGAAGTCTTTCTTGGTTCTCCAGGGAAATATGTTGGTCGGGGGTTTCAATTCATCCTTTCGGGAGAATTAGATGGTCTTCCCGAGCAGGCCTTTTATTTGGTGAGTAACATCGATGAAGCTACCGCAAAAGCTATGAACTTAGAAGAGGAGAGCAAATTGAAGAAATGACCTCAAATCTTTGTGTACCGACTCCAAATTGAATGATTTAGGATTCTGAAGTGCAAGAGATTATTTTATCTACTAATAGTGGACAAATTGGGGTATTACCAAATCATGCCCTCATTGCCACGGCTGTAGATATAGGTCTTTTGAGAATACAGCCAAAAGATCGATGGTTAACAGTAGCTCTTATGGGTAACAAATAAATTATACAAATAATATTAACACACCAGTAAATAATATACAAATGCTATATATTAACATTGTAGTTTATGAAATCAAAACAATTACATTCAATTTAGCAACCCCCTCTGGGCTAGGCTTTGAGTTAAGTGCTATTTTGTAGTTATTGTACTTGCTAGTTTTATTTTCATTCTCTTTTGCCATAATCTTCCATGCAAGTTGACCTCGAATACAATGTAGCTTTCAATTTATTGGATTTTGAAGGATCTCATGATCAAGCCAACATATAAATTACATGCAATAAAAATATTGCTCATAAAAAAATAGGGATAAATAATTACATAAATGATTACATAAATGACACCCTAAGTATTTCTATTAATAAAGTCTAGCATACATGATTTTTTTGAACCACGAATCAAATCATTAAGAAATTGATGAAAAACATGAGCGTCTTATCATGAATTTTTACATATGAGTGAGAATTTGAAAAATGGATGAAAGAACACTAAATTTGTTAATAGCAATCTCTTGGGTGCTATGTATAGTAGTTAAGTTTGAAATATCAAAATCTCTATTGAGGCTTTGGGCTATCAAAACTCCTGATATAATAGTATAGCACTAAATTATCCAAATTTTTAAGCTCGTTTCAATTTATAAATATGCAAGGACGAAAATGCCACACTCTCATGCTACAATTATTAGAAACACAATTCATGTGAGCCTCGCCAAAACCTCCAACGAAAATTGGGCCATCGCTTCTAGTAGGCAATCTAAATTCCTTGTTAGCATTTCCACGTAATCACTCTGTATTTACATATCAAACACCTAAATGTCTTCATTTTTGTAACACATGCCATCATTCCCACGCATGAAATGTTTCATGATTCAAAGTTAAAATGGTGCTATTTTTAATGAGATCTGGAAGCATTGGGAAAAAGTAGATGTAAAAAATAAAGTTTAGATTTAGATATATAAATATATAGGATTTGGGTCGAGCGTATGTAAATGGCCAAGAATTAAAAAAAAAATCATAATAACATATCAAGGACAATCATGCAATGCATACAAGCCTTCTTAAAAATCATCAATCAAGAACGCAGACAAGCAAAGAGAGCTTCAGAACTAATAGTTTCTCTATATTCGACCAAAAATGCATAAATTACATCTATCTCTTCTTCATTTATAAGCAAAACTCTAAAACAAGCCAAATCAAACCACAAAAAACAGCTAAACAAACCTAACCAAAACCACCAACCACTCAGAGAAATCACAGCTCCTCCTCGTGTCTCTAAGACCCTCCTATAACCTTTTCTACTTCGCAGCCTCATAATTGGACGACAGTGTATCCTTAGCCGCATCCAACCCTCTCCTTTGCAGCTTCATATCCTTCCTTCACCTTGCTCGCCGCATTCCCGGCCGTCTCATAAGTCGCCTCCTGCGCTTCCCCTGCCTCCACAGTTTCTTTTGCCTTCTCGAAACACGATGTCTTCTCTGCTGCTTTCCCTGCAGCCTCGATAGTAGTTTTCTTTGTAGACTCTGTAGTCTCGTTTGTCTTATTTTTGGTTTGGGTTGCTGTTTCCGATGCTGTATCTTTCACCTTTCCTGAGACAGAATCCTTAGCACCCTTTAGGGAGTCTTTAGCAATTCTAGCCTTCTCCTTGGTGTATGCTCCCACATCTACACATCAATAAATACAATCAGATCTTACAAATAAAGCTTATCTAAATGTGCAACCAAGATGTACCAGAAGCGATGCCGCCAGCGCTGTCCTTGGCAGCATGCCCTGCTTTCTTCGCCTTGCTGGCTGCTTCCTCTGCCTTCTCCTCCTTGTCTTCAGTGGGTTGATGCTTGATGCCAAGGCCACCGGATATCTTGTCTTTGGCCCACGAAGTCCATGACTCCGAGCCTTCCTGCTGCTTATCGTCGTCGCCTGTAATTAAGGCCTCATCTGTGCCGGTCTTCGCCGTTGACGCTGCTGTTGTTATCGCCAAAGGCAGTGAGAAAAGAAGTATGGTTGTGAGAAAGAGAAGAAGGTTTTTGTTTGCCATGGAAATTTGGATGGGGTTGCGAACTGGATGGTAAGATTCAGAGAGAGAGAGAGAGAGAGAGAGAGAGAGAGAGAGAGAGAGAGAGAGAGAGAGAGAGAGAGAGAGAGAGAGAGAGAGAGAGAGAGAGAGAGAGTGATGGGTTTGGAGAAATGGGGACGAGGAATTTATAGGAAGGATGGCGGATGGGAGAGGAGTTCAGTTGGGAGCAACGTGTCATGAGCAGGTGTGAGTTTGGCTGGATGCTTGTCACGTGGCAATTTTCGGCGCTACGGTGGTAGAGACGTGGCAATTTTCGGCGCTACGTGGTAGTGACGTGGCAATTTTCGGCGCTACGGTGGTAGAGACGTGGCAATTTTCGGCGCTACGTGGTAGTGGACGTGGCAATTTTCGGCGCTTCGGTGGTAGAGACGTGGCAATTTTCGGCGCTACGGTGTAGAGACGTGGCAAATTTGTGATGGATTTTAGACTTTTCATACGTCATAATATTATTTTTTAAATTATTTATAAAGGAGTTTTTTTCTTTTAAAAAGGGACATTTTCATGCTCATCACATAATTCTTGTTTATTTGCATTTCTAACAATTAAATTCTTATTAATGTTTAAAGTCACATAAATATATATATATTTATATGCACACTCGGGATGCGGTCTTGCATGCGTACTCAAGTATGTGCTTAATTTTATATTTAAAAAATATATTTATTTCAAAAATATTCATGATAAATATGTATTAGAAAATTCTCAATAGAAAAGCAATCTTTTATGTGTATGATTATATTTTTATGGAGAAAATTCTAGAAAAAAAAGCTACTGAGCATCTGGTTAGAATAATTCACTAAAAAATTAAAAGTATAGATGTTTACTCTTTTTTTGAACTATTGATTGCATTATTTTGATTAAATGATCATAATTGAGCTACAATTGTATTTGGTGGCTAAAATAGCAATAGTCGACTATAAAAATAATAGTTTATGGTTGTGATAGTTGTTGTTATTGGCTGCAAAAATTGTAGTTGGTGGTTACGAAAGGTATAGTTGATGGCCACAATAGCCACATTATCCCCAATTGGTTGCAAGAGTCATAGAGGGGTTGCACTAATTATGATTTGTGGCTACAACAATAGTAGTTGACTACGATTGCTAGTGGTTGTTTGGTGACATATAAGATTGACAATGAACTCTAGTAGTTGGTTGTGATTTTGATTATTAGCTACAAATCGCTAGATTTCAAAAGTTAAAGCTTTAGTAACTCATCATTTTCTCTTCCCTTCCTTTTTACAGTGAAGAATGATGATTTATTTATAATTTTTGAGAGAAAAAATTTAGTAAATTTAGCCATAATTTAAGAACGCTCAAGCAGACAATTTACATTCAATGCTTTTGTCAATTTATTGGATTTTGAAGGATCTCATGATCAAACCAACATATAAATTACATGCAATAAAAATATTGCTAATAAAAAACAGGGATAATTACATAAATGACACCCTAAGTATTTCTATTTATTAAGTGTAGCATCCATGATTTTTTTGAACCACTAATCAAATCATTAAGAAATTGATGAAAAAGATGAGCGCGATGTCACTGTAAATGTCACTATTAAGACTGATTTCAAAGAAAAAATAACTATCAATGCAACTATTAATGTGATTATTCCAATTAGATTGAGTATCATACATGGAATAATAAGAATAGTAGTAATCACTATTATTAGACCCACTTTTCAAACATCTAGGTAGTTCACTCAAAAAAGAACTAGCATTGTCAATATCAAAAATCTGATTTTTAATATCAAAATATACAGAATAAGTAAAACACAATTCATGTGAGCCTCGCCAAAACCTCCAATGAAAATTGGGACATCTAAAGTTTTCGACTTCCGATAAGCATTCAGGGAATGTACAATATTATTCAAGGAATTCAGTGTAATAAGCATCGCTTCTAGTAGGCGATCAAAATTCCTTGTTAGCATCTCCACTTAATTACTCTGTATTTACATATCAGTTCTGAAAATATTCCCGGTGTTATAATAACGCAATTACACATCAATAATACTTGAAAATCACACAATAACACCTGAATATCACACAATAACACCCGAATAATACTCGGGGAATATTCCCTTGTGTTACCGGGCCGATCACCTCCACGACTTAATTTCATTGGACTCCGCACGTAGCTCTACGTGCGGAGTCCTCATGTAATATTTTTTTCATGATGAGAAACATTTCATATAAAACAATAATGCGAGCTACGTGCGAAGTCCTCATGTAATATTTTTT